ATTGTTAGAGATGGTGGTTTCAGACATGGCTTGGTGTAGAAAAGAAATTCACAACAAGTAAGGCTGAAACATAAACACAACAATGAAGGCTGATTGAAGAAGACTACGCCCTAGAAAAAAATTCCTATAGCTCTGATACCATGTGAGAAATTAGAGATGAGAGAAAAAATTTATCTATTTCCTCATTGATTTGAAATGATAATATACAATGTTAAATAGTAGATTCCAATGAGAAAAAAAAGAAACAAACAAACTAATTCCATCGATCAAGGGATTGATTAATTCCCTCACTTTAAGAGATTATAAATTGAATCTCCTAACATATTTACAGAACTATTTACCGGTCATCTACTCTTTGATAGAATCTTGATGTTTTTACTAAACTTATTTAAGATATTAAACAAATATGAAATCAGAATATTGATGAATACACCACTATTGTGCCTTTCTAATTCCATTCTTGAATTTTTTTATGATGTTAAATGTACTATTAAGTATGATATAGATAATATAACTTTTGAAACAATTATGAATGTATAAAAAGTGAGGAATTAAATTTACAGGTTAATAAGAAAGAACAACAAGCATTTGATGAAGTTTTGTTAGCTATGAGTAAGTCACATAATTTAGAAAATTTTGAAAAGTAAATGAATAAGGACAAATGGAAAAACATGTCTAAGTATAATAAGCATAAGAAGTGCTATAATTGTGGAAACCCGAATCATTTTATAAATCAATGTCTATATCCTAAGGAGAACTTTAGAAATCAACAATATGATGAAACAAATGTAACTATAGAGAATGAGATTGTGGGTTACATGTTTATAGTAAAAATTAATTTTTCTACTATTGATCATGTGTGGGAAACTAAGTGGTTAACTGATATTGTCTTAGAAAAATTTGTTTTCGATTTGTAATTTTATGTCACATTCTTTTGTTGATATAGATGATACTGATCTAAAGTTTAATTGTTTGATTATATGTTAAATTTGAAATAAATGGATGTGCTATAATTTGATGTTCTTTACTAATGTGCTCAACTTGACATTCTTTATTGTGCTTGTATATATATATATATTTTTTATATGCAATAATTATATGGTAAGTTGTACGTATGAAGACGAATGTCAGCATATTTTCCACTCTTGTTATGCCCCAAGTAACTATGATGGTCGATCAGAAACAAAGGAAAATTGTTGAAAAATTATTTCATTGAACCTGATCCAACACAGACACAATCCATCAATAGACCCGACCCGGTTTGAATTGGTTAAAATCGGATTCTTCTTCTCTTAAATCTCATCCGAAATGATATACTCAGTCCATTTTTTCCTTCTTCCTCCAGTTCCGACGATAACGTGATTTCAATCCATTCAATCCCGAAGTCTCTGAGGTCATTGTGATGAGATATGTTTGCACCTAAGTTTATGGGTTTATCAATAATCTCCTTGGATATATATAATATAATATGTATATATATTTGTGGGTTTTCGTGGTTGGTGGGTTTTCGTGGGTTGGGGTGAGGGAGAGTGGGAGAGAACATCAATTTTGTGCTACTTGTACGGATTCTTGTACCGATCTCCTCCCTCCATATAATTTTGTATTTCCCTTTGTTTCCTGCTTAGAATATTGTGTGATTTGGATGACTTGGTGTTGGATTCCAAGTTTTCCTCCCTTTGTGTGGGTGTTGCCTTATAGGACGACTTGGAGTTGCAGCGAAGTGGGCTGTAATTTAAGCCTACAAAAAATTCTTTTATTTTTTTAAGTTTAATTATCACACTGTTTTAATTTCATTATTTGATTCACTAATCTCTCATTATATCATAGTCGATTATAGTGGAAAAAAATTCCCAACACAACACAATTAAGAGCATAAAAAAAAAAATTAACAGAAAGAAAGAAAATGCAAAAAGACACACAAAGAGTATCATACCTCGTGAATAACAACAGTGAGATTAGCGGTAATATCATTATTGGCTATGAAAATTTTTCGCAGTTCTTTCATCCAAACCAATTTGAGAAGAAAAATAAAAACTTCTCAACCCCCATCACTTTCGTTCTTGCCCATCATGGCTGCTCGCTTTGATTTTAAGGTTTTTAGCGCCAGGCAGAAGAACCCTAATGAGAGAGGAGAAAGTGAAGTACGATATAAGAAAATTTTGTTCGGCTGCAAGACTAAAATTGTGTTTGTTTGTGTTATTATAAATATACATTGACACTTATTTTTATTGAATTTTATATTGTTAAAAAAAATTAATTTTATATAATATACTTAAATAAATAACAAGTATATCTAAATATAATTAATAGAAATTAGTTTATAAAAAATATGAAAAATTTAAATGTAAATGTATATATATTTGTTTGTATAAAAAATAGTAGTACTTTTTGTTTTCATATCATATATGTAAAGGTATGATTAGTAAATATATATTAGTAAAATTACAATAAAGATTAATAAAAATTTAAAAAGTTATAATTATAAAATTTAAAATATTATTAAAAAATATTCTCTTCAACTTTTACATAAATTCTTGTATAGATAGTATTAATAAAATTAATTATAATATAATAAAAATAATTATAAATTAAAGATAACATAATTAATTAGTTTAATTAAAATTAAAAAATTATAAATTATAAAATTTAAAATATTTAATTTTTATTAAAATATGTGACATAAAATATGGGACGGATAGAAAAAAAGATGTGATATTATATATAGGACATTGAGAGGTTTAGTGTGATAAAAAGAACTATGGGTGCGTTTCTTTAGGGCGTTTAGAGGAAATTTGAGTTTGAATTTGATTTTTATTTGAATTTTGAAGTGAGTTTGAATTTATGTGTTTCTTTTGTGTTTGAGTTTTGGTTCGGTTTGAAGAGCTTTGATGTGTATTGATTTGATGGTAATAAATATAATAATATATTTGTGTATTAATGTATAATTTGATTATAAATTTATTTTATATCTACATATATATTTATAAATTTTTATTTAATTATATTATAAAATTTTTTATTCTCTACAAAATAACATGTATATTGTATATATTTTATTAAATTATAATTATTATAATTTTTTATTTATAATTTAAAAAAACTAAAAACTAAAAGAAAAGAAAAAAAAAAGTAACAAACACGGCCAGAACGGTCCTCCAATTTGGCAATTAGCTGATTCAATTAGCTGGTTTGACTAGCTGATTCTATTAGCTGTTTGTATTAAAATATTTGGTAAAACAACTGTTTGATATTAGCTGTTTATACGTAAAACGACAATTGAGGACATTTCTATTTTATTTTTGTTTTTAATATATTCAGTTATGTTCTTTTGAGTTTAGAATGTTTAAAATTTTTTGTTATTAGTTATTGAAAATTGTAAAAGTGTTATAAAAGTATTTATTTTTATTACAGTTAGATTTAAAAAAATAATATATTTTTATTAAAATATATAAATAGTTTTTTTATTGAAAATGATGTAAAATATAAAATAATAAATTTTTCGTGTATATATTTATTATGTTAGTTATCGATTAGTTTATTATATTTATAATTTTCAATAAATTTAATTTATTTAATGTATGTTTAGTATAATATTTATATAATGTAATATTAATAAAAAAATAAATTATTAATATTTATATTTTTTATTTTATATTGATTTTAATAAATTTATATAATTTAAAATTAAAATAATTTTTTATATAAAAATTAATTATTTTAAATTTATAAAAGTAAAACTATAATATAATAAAATATTCTAATATAATTAATAAATAATTAAAATATATTTATTTGTGTAAAATGTATAATAAATTTTTAAGGGCATATAAGGAATAATTTTTTTTTTTTTTTACAGAAATAGCTATTTCAAAACGTTGGATAAGTTAACTTTTCAGAAATTAGCTTTTTGGGTCCAAAAAACTATTCCAAAAAGCTAATTTACCAGACATCTAAATTAGTTTTTTTACTAGTCAAACAGCTAAAAGCTGTTCAATAAGCTAAAAAAGCTAAAAAACTATTTGCCGAACACCTCCACAATGTGACTTAGGCTGCAGAAACACACCCTATATTTTATTTTAAAATATTAAATAAAAAATAGCTAAAATTTAAAAATTAAGAGCACAGCTCCATATTTTCGTTAAATTTGCATTTAAAAGACCAAACTTGTTTCTTATTAAGGATGTTTTTTCTTCGAGTCCGGGTTAGACAAAATTACTGTACAAACAGATACGGTAATTTTGTCCAAACCGGGCTTGTTCTCCAAGTCCCAGCACGTGCTGCCTCTTATAGCTTTTGCTGCATTTGTTTTGTTTGTTTGTTTTTTTTTGTTTTATTTAAAATATAAATAATAATTTATTTATTTGATATTTATAATAGTTATAGTTTAATAAAATATATACAATATATATTATTTTGTAAAAAATAAATCTTTTTATAATACAAATAATTTTTTGAGAATCTTATCAATATCTCAAATAAATGATCAGGTCTGTTTGGTACCAAAATTTGATCGAATCATTTGTGATACTATTGTTCCCTCAATAGTTATGAGAACAAGATAGAGATTTTGCAAGAAAATGAATTACTTTTTTATTTGAGTGTATAATGGACTTTTCCAAAAAATATTGACGTGTAAATGGAGGTGTTAAAAATTTAAAAATATATATGTTTGATATAATATAAATGCATAATAATCATACAGTTATTAACTTTATTAATTAAATTTAATACATATTTATATTATTATATTTGTAACCTATCAAATTAATACTATCAAATCTCTCAAAATTCAAACTAAACTTAAATACAAAATGAACAGATAAATTCAAACATATCTTAAAATTCAAATAAAAACTAAAATCAAACTCAATTTTTTTCAAACCGCCCTAAAAAACCTACCCTAAAATTTTAAAACTAAAAATAACAAGAAGGATTAATACTACTACTACTAATAATAATAACATAAAATAAAATAAACTTGTACATTCGTCTCCCAATTTTTGGCGCGAAAATTACCTCGACAAAATTAGGGTTTATGAAAATCTCAACAGCTCTGAGGAAATTTCATTGATCAGAGATGGTGAATTCAGCGGAGCAGATCGATGAAATCAAAGCCCTTTTAGTATCAGAAAGCAAGGCATTGGCTTACTCCAAGCTACTGCACTTGCAAGAAGTCTCGGCCGTCGATTCGTCTGCCGTTGGGACACTCGTCGGTTTGTCTCGCGCCATCATTACCTCTGCCGTTTGTGATATCTCTGATAGCGATGAAGAAATGTAGGTGTATCCCATCTTCTTGTTTACAATCTATCCATATGCTAAATTGGCTGGAAATGAGACGATATTATGCTAAATGGTTCAAATTTGATTTTACATGGGGTTTATTGTTTTATAGTGCTGCTCAGGCGTTGAAGTGCTTGGGTTTCATGATTTACCACCCTGATATTGTAGCTTCAGTTGGAGGTAATTTCCATCCTTTGTGTCGTGTGTGTTTTAATCATGTACAAAGTTGTAAGCATTTTCTTGTTTGCTTTCATATGCAAATATCTATTACCCAGAGATGAAGGCAAACACTAATTCAACCAATCCGTGATAATTGATAACATTGAGTTCTGAAGGAGAAAATTTGTGTTATTTTAATTCATTGGTTTAGGGAAAGTTTTTGATGTGATGTTTTCTTGAGGCAAAAAACATTTCGCTATAGTGCGAAAATGACGATGAAAGCACAAGCTAACACACGTATTTAGGAGAATCATCACTTACACTTTGCCTTAGGGATGATTTCAGTCGAGATTTGCAATATAAAATATTTTTGAAGTCATAAACAAATAATTAGTTGAAGGCTGCAGTACTTAATAAGATACTTTGAAAGAACAATGCCATACAGTGGTGCTAAAAGATATCACCAATGAATGGAAGGTCGCCACTTGTTGCTAAAAATTTAGTTAGAAGACGCAGTGAAGTATTTCCAGGTGCCAACTAGAATCCTCAATTCCCAATAATGCACACAATGAAGATCTTTTCATTGTTCGAATGTTTGTATGATAGTTCAGGAAGTCTGGTGGGTGGATGTATATTTGGTGCGCTGCACAAATTCTCTCAACTAAGAATCTGGTGTTTCTATGCTTGTTGAAGCAATATATAATTCCAATAACATGACTTCTAGATGAAGAGGTAGCAAATCCACTATTTGGCTGGACAGTGCCTCTATTAAACATAATTTAGTCTGGTTTGAAGAGCATGGTCCCAGGCTGAAAATTCGTACATACGATGCACTACTTAGCAGATACATGGAGTTCTCTATAGAATGAAGTTACTGTGCATGGTGTCAATGATCGCTGTTTGCATATTTGAATGCCTTTTTAAGACTTTGCCGACATGAAATGCACATTCAGGGCTCTGGATATTGGACGTCAATATATATATATATATATATGGATTAAATAGAAGCTTTTTAAAGGAGATGCTTTATTATATGTGGTTAAAGCTCCCCTTTCTTATGATATTCAGGTGATGATGTCGAATTAATAATTGCGGCACTGCTAAAGGTCATTACAGAAACTAAAACCAAGGTAAGCTAATCTTTTGTACAAAACATTAAGCTTTTGCTACTTTGTTTAACAATAACTGACAAGATTTTGCAATGTTGCAGTCTGTTTGCAATTTAGGGGTGTGGTGTATATCAATCCAACAGTTCAGTCCTTCATTGTTGGATAAACATTTTGAGTCTTTGATACTGGCAGTTAACCATGCCCTTGATAACCCATTTGGATCACTTTCAGTGACATTTGAGGCGATGCAGGTATTGTGCATTTTCATTATAAAGTGTTATCTCTAAGAGATCGTACTAGGTGCCCAATGAAACTTCATACTGATGGTTTTTCAAACAGCATGCTTTTCTTGTACACTGACATTTGCATAGATATGTTAATCTGAAATTAGACATGGACCAAAGTCCCATAACACACAACAAGAACCTAGCCCTACCAATTTCATTATCAGCATAATGATAAGTGGAAGCTTTTTTTTTTTAATAAAAGTTATTTGTGTGGACTATTTTCTATTTTGATCCACAGTAACATCACTGAACTTTCAGATCTAAATTAAACAATTAACAGCTTTTGGGATTCTAATTCTTACATTTTACTATCTACATATATTATACACAAAATATAATATTAAACAATTGATCGCCTATGTTAATAATTTCTATTCAAGTCTGTAGAACTGTGATTCTTATTAATTAATCACAAGATGAGAGTACACACGCACATCTATGATTAGATACCTATCTATACTAGGAGACAAACTGAAAATCCGGCTCTAATTGTTCTGTATAGATTAATGCCTACTGATATAGTTAAGCATATCCAAGTATATTAATGTCTATTCATATTCTGAAGTTTGGGACTCTAACCCTACTGGACTAGTGATCTCGTTCAAACTTAGTAAAATGAGTCATAGGTAGGGATTTAGCATCTATTCCTTGTCAAAAGGAATTTTAAAAGTTGCACATCTGCATAAGTTGATTTCTCCTTGGTATTCTATTTGTAGGATAAACTTGTAAGCATATGAATTTCATGAATTATAAAGTTATTCCTCACACTCTTTTTGCATGTAATGACTAACTATATTAAAGGTTAGAAATAAAATTTACTGTAGTTTGCTTAATTTCTTTGCTCTAAAACATTTTTTCACCAGTTATAGCTCTCTAGCACCTTCACCAATCCGCTCTTTATGAATGTGTGCATTTTAGCGTTGTCTCTTCATGCATGCTTTTTGCATTATTTCTGGGAAATTTCTCCCCGCAATATAGTTTGTATTTTCTATGCCAGGCCGTGGTGAAGTTGGCTAGTTCATTAACTGAGAACATGAGAAATATGTCTAGCGTGTGGCTTCCACCAATTTACAGAAGGCTAGTCAGTGTCAATAAAAGGGACAGAGATATGTCAGAGAGATGTTTGCTGAAGATTATGCATTTAATATGTCCTCCACCAACTACTCTCTCCAAGGTAGCAACATATGATTATTTAACTTAATTCATTCATTAGTTGAATATCTTCAATTCCTTTTTTTTGCATTAAAGAAAGTTACACCAAGAGTAAATGATTTTATCAATCCAGAAAGCTATATATGATTAGGTTCTATAGATGATAAATCATTTCAACTATTAGGAGTAGAAATATACTGCATTGATATATACTTTGGTAGAGTATGGGTAGAACTTTTTTTTATTGCTAGGGCATGGTGGCGTAGGTATCAAAGCCATGAGTGTTGTATCAAAGCTTGGGAAGAAGCTGCCGTAAGGTGAATGGGTGTTTTGTAGGATTCTATTACTTCTGTTTCATAATTATTCTTGTAATCTCATGTTGAATGGAAGAGTAATATTGTTTATATTATTGGCTACTGGAGACTTAATTTATATCGAGCTAGTGTTAGTGATATAAAAAGGTAGTATCATTTACACGACTAATTCAACTAACATATATAGATGAGTTATAAAGGTTGAAAATATGTAAAACAAATATATGAGAGGTGTTCTATCAGAGATTGCCTTTCAAGTATATTGATTTCCCGCCTTCCTGTTCTTGTTGTTTTTCAGTTGATAGTTAAATCTTGCTAGTTGCTACTAGTTTTATAATTTGCTTTTATATTTTCCTCACTCATTTTGCTCTTGTTGTTTTCTGTATGTCTTTTCCTTTCTCCACCCTTTATAATTTCAAGGTGGAGAGTTTATAATGAAATTTCATATGGCATTTTTTTTGGAGCTAACATTTAGATGCTTTTTAAAAGGCAGTTGCCGTGGACATGAAAAAGAAATTACTCTTAGCTATGAAGGGGCTATTGGATCAAGGGATGAAGATTGAAAGTTTGCGAGCATGGGGGTGGTTTATTCGCCTGCTTGGAACATATGCAATGAAAAACAAGCACTTGATAAATGAAATGCTAAAAAATCTGGAGCAGACATTCTCTGAGTTTGACCCCCAAGTTCAAATTGCCTCATTGGTATTCTGTTCAATCATATGATCTACCAGATCATCTTGGTTATTTATATTCCTTAAATTTGATAATGAGATTGCCTTAATTAGATCTTATCCTTGAGCACTGCTTTAGCAATGATCTTTCTGAACCTCTGATTTCAGTTTGAACTAGATAGAAGGCTCTTGGATTTGTCATGTCAACACAATCAGTCTAGATTTTTAGAAACAATAAATGCTTTGCACCTATTTGATTTTCTCAATGTGTATAATAACCTAGATGTAGAAATAACATGAAATGAGCAAATATACTCTTATTAATCTTTCTTCTTGTGAACCACCCTGCATGGTGTCAAGTAATTTGGGTTTCAATTTTTTTTTCTGCTCTAGTACTGAGGTATCCATATAGTAAGTATGTTTCTCTATGGTATATTCTATTTTTTCCATTGTTTACGTCTATCTTCTCCAAGTGAATGATAGACACCAGGTGTGTTATCAAGGTGGGTTCACACAGTTGCATTATTAGATGAATTCATTGGGTTTTCTTTTCATTGCAGGTAGCCTGGGAAGGCCTTATTGATGCTACAGTTGATCCTGGAGTTCAATTGTTTGGGCTGTCCGAGAGTACCACCACTTGCAATGAAGCTGGCAAAAACTTGAAAAGAATTAAGCTTATAATGGCACCTCTTGTAGGAATAATCTCAAGTAAATGTGATGTGTCTGTCCATATATCATGCATAAGCACATGGTCTTATTTACTACATAAGCTTGGATCGTGTGTTAGCTGTCCGTTAGTGATCAGTATGGTTTGGCAGCCCATTATCAAAGCAGTCTTTCAAGTTGGATTTGATAATAAGAACATCTGGTTATGGAATTTTTGTTTGGATCTCTTCAATAATCTTATATTAGAGAGAAATCAAGGAGCTGTTAGAAAGTTGCTTCACCAGGAAATAAATCAATTATCCTTTGAAAATACTATAGATGGTAATCTGGCATCTAGGAAGCACACATTGAAGAGTCATGAGATAAGCTATTCTTCTTGGAACCTACGTCAGCTGGACTTCTTCTTGAGCATGATATCTCTTCTTGTAAAAAAGTCAAATACATCTGTTGCACCTGAATTTAGGAAATTGGCAAATGAAGCTGCACTAAGGCTATTTGGATCTCTTATGGAAACAGTTCAAAGAACTCTTCAGCATGATAATATTACTTATGATGATATTATGCAATGTCTGAATGCTATATTTGGGTTCTTGGGGAGCACATGCGAGAATATGGCTTCAGAAGATCATACCTACTATTATAATCTTCACATAAGCCTTGAGTTTCTGAAAGTGGCAACAGAGGCACTATCAACCTCCATTCTGGGATCTCCTCTCTATAAAGTGGGCTTTGAGATTAAGAACATTAAAACTGTAGAATATGCTGCTGAAATTAGATGCCCAACAGTATCAGATACCGATTGTGTCGAGAACTTTGATGGCAGGGTTCTTCCTGTAGTGCATTTGTGTGCTCTCTATTTCTCTGTAGTTTTAAAGTCATCTTCGAGGATACATGAATATGAATCTCAATTGCAGCAGATGCAAGGGTATTTGAAGTTTGTATTATCTTCATACAATCCTCAGGATGTTCTTCATGCTTTTTTGTGTTCTCTGTACGAGAATACGGTCCCTGATAGCATACAGATGTGGATAGTTATGGTTAACTGTCTTCAGGAATGCTTCAGTGCAATAAATGATCAATCGATACTATTGATGGAGGCAAGTAATGCTTATTACCATCTTGTATTGCGTCTCCTGTTATATCCATTCGCTTCATGGCCATTATGTCAGACCAAACTTGAGCTTCAGATTGTTGCTGAAGCATGGAATCTGCTTTATGTATCTGTTGATCAAGTGCTACAATCTGTTCATTGCCCAGTCAAGAGCTTCCCGGAGGATCTTTGTGCATCACTGAACAGATGCATTGATCAATTTCTCACAACAGCTGATACTCTAGCTGAGCTGCAGCTTACAAAGAAAATGTATTATGGCAGATTCGCTCTACTCTGTGGAAATGCCATTATATGCATCCTGAAACAACTTCCGAGGCGGATAAGCTCTAATGGAATGCCTTACATTGATTTTTCTGGCCAAAAATCCCGAATCACCAACAGCTTGGAGTTAGCAGCTCGGTAAGAGATACGCATTTGAAAGTTTCATTTGTTTTGTAAAGTTGTCTAAAACTCCTTGAGAACATACTGACTTTGAGAGTTGAAAAAATGTTTTAATAAACGTCAAGGTTGAGTGGTCATTGTGCAATGGAAATTTCAGCAAGAGCAGAAGAAATTTAATTAAAGTAGCATTAATTAATTGAAAATGTGGGAATAGTTAGTGTATATACTTTCAAAAGCTTACCAGGCTCACTGTAGATTCAGCATCTTATTCACTCTGTTATTTTTTAGAAATAATCTACTGCCAAATGAATATAGTTTCTATACTCATTGTTGGATGTATGACCGTTATGAATGGATGCTCTTGTTTCAGTACTTTCTACCTCTGGTTTCTTCTGCTGTCCATTGGTTTTTACCTGTGTCTTGTGCTGGCTAGGAATCAACCTTGATTAAACTTTAGTTAGCAATAATTTTAAAGATCCATATATGTTCCAGTGTTCCTCTGATTTGAATACCATGTTTAATAAATCTTATGATATGCTTATTCATTCATTGTAATGTTTTATCCTAGGTGCAGACTAAGTCGCTTAACATAATTATAATGCTTCTTTCCTACTCCTCCCAAGATCCCTCAATTTTTTCGGCACACACAATAATGGTTATCTTAACTGATTCTGTTTTCTGTACATATCCTAAACTTCTCTCGTTTCTAATCATCTGACTGGGAGAAATATTAATGTCTTGAAGTTGGGAGAGATTTCTTATTCTATGACTCTCTTGCAGGTTTATGAAGCTGTTCTGGGAGAATAAGGAAATAACTGAAGGATCTCATCTCTCAATGGCATCTAGGTGGTTATCTATGCTTCCTTCATATGTACTTCTTTCTCTAAGTACTGTTTCAACATTAAACTCTTCATTTTCAGATTTTTATCAGCATCAGTCAACTTTGTTGAATGCCTTCACCAGAAGGAAGATGTTCTTATGTTGGTTGAGGTAAAAGCTTACTTAACATCTTGCTGTTTTTGTGGTGAGAGAAATATGAGTGATCGAATATAGTGTTTCTTATTGCATCATGCCATCTCCAGTCAGTCTTTTAGCTTAAACTTTTTAAAATCCGTTTTCTTAATTACAGTTATGTTTCTGTTTTAATGCTGGTGAATGTGAATGTGAATTTGAGTTGGCTATACCTATACCTTGTGTGCTGATGGTACTGGTTTCATGGGCATCCAAATCAAAAATGGAAGATGAGAATTTTAATAGTACTAAATTCAGTCCTAATTAAAAATGGGAATTGATTCATTAGTACCAATTCAATCCTAGTCTCAATGATCTTGAATTTGATTTGGTACTTTGGAGTATAGTTAATTCTTCAAATTAAAGATAACACTTGTAGTTTGTGATATACTATGTAAACATTGTTTCGAGTTTATACTATTATGTGTTGTGCTGTTGAATGGTATGAAAAACTTGTTGAATCACATCAAATTTGTTGAACCACTTACAATAAATGTTAAATCATACGAATCATTGGGACAATGTTAAACTATTGAATTGCAACGTCCATATGTTGAATGCTTGTAAGTATATTTGAACGATTAAATATGTTTAATCATGATGTAAATTTGTTGAACTTCTGGAACCATAGCGTGAATTTGTTTAATATGTTGCCTATATTTTGAGCAGAAAATCACAATAAATATACTTGGATACAAAACATGTTGAATTGAAGTATTTGAAAGTATTGAATATTATGCTCTTAGAGTTGAGCTAAGTACAGTGGTTTTGGTCAATTTGTGCCTTATATGCTGGATTCAAGATTTTGTGATTTTTATACAGAACTATGTAAATGGAAATCAAACTCATTAACTACATGAATGTATAGGCTCTGTTTAGATATATCTTTTGAGGTATTGAAAATTTTAAAAAATAAGTAAAATCCTAATATTAAATGTAATGTTTTGTGATATGAAATACTATATATATATATATATTTAAATAGTATGTAGATGAATAATATCAAACGGATTATTTTGTGTATGTAAACATATTCTAATTTTTTTTTATTAAATTCAAATTTCCTATTTACAAATTCATTTTAAGAAGTTGAAATAATTTGAATTTGGGGAGCCCTGATACTGCTTTTTTTTTTTTCAGAGTACATCAACACCATTGCTTTCATGGCTATCAGAAATGCAACTTCTTGATGAGAATGCAAACCATCAGCTTCACTTACTATGGGATCAAATGCTTAAAGCTTTGCAGAGAAGTGAGCCATCCCCTAACTTCGATTCCTCATTTCTCGGCCTCTTACAGCCTCTGCTCGAAGCCACTCTCGACCACCCAAATCCGAGCATTTCTGAGATGACTGTAAAATTCTGGAATTCAACCTTTGGGTCGACACACCATAAGTTAGACTTTTCTGAGAAGCTACTTCCATTGCTGGACAAGCTATACAGAAATGGTAAAATAAAAATCTGCAACCGAAACCACTCTACAGCGGACACCTTAATCAGCTCCCGGTACAACATTACCTCTCTAAGGAAGTGCTCAAAAAGAGTGGAAATCATCGACAATCCTTTGAGCAGACACAATAAGTCGAGCAAGGTGAGTTTGAGTGCAAAAAGAAAATGCCCGGAACTTACGGAACACCAGAAAGAAGTGAGACGAGCGCAGCAAGGAAGAACAAGGGATTGCAACGGGCGGGGACCAGGAATACGGACCTACACGAGCGCCGATTTCTCCCAAGACAACGAAGAATCGCAAGACAGCCCACATTATGTTAGGATATGCTGATTGTCTCGGTAAGTTTGCTGACCGTTGAGCTACATTGGCTTTTCGATTCTTCTTCGGCTGAGATTGCAGAAGTGGAGTTATGTTTGGGCTGCGGGGATTGTCGAATTGCAGCAGCCGATGCGTCGGTTTTCGATTCGAACCGGAGGTGTGAAAACTGTTGCTAACAATGGCACAGTTGTAGTTGGAGAAGTATGCATTGAGCAAAATTTGTAAAGGCGGGAGTTGGTTGTGTTTTTGGTTTCTTTGAGGATGTCTTTAGCATATTTAATAAGTACTTATTACTACAGTTTTGAATGTAATATTTTAAATTAAAAATATTTTATTGAATGGAGATAAATGTATTTTTATTTTCTATGTAAAGGGTGTCTTTTGTTTTGTATTTTTTTAATTGATGTAATTTTTTCTTTGTCAGGTATGAAGAATGGTATCGATGATATATTTTGTGTTGTATTATTTATTTTTTTGCAAGTGAATATATTATATATATGTGTAAGAAATAATCGAGTAAACACACCTAAAGTCTATACAAATGATTATGTACTATCTAATTTATACTTACTGAATAACTTTTGTATTGGAATATTGGTATGGTACACCCTGAGATTAGTCATTTCTATCATTAATTTTTTTTAAGTAAATTTAATTTAAATAAATATATAAATATACTCTCTTTGTTCATGTATTTTTGCATAATTGTGGTTGATTACAGTGTTTTTTTTTTTTTCTTTAAATAGATAACAATTTTTTTTATATAATTCTTTTTATTAGGAAATGATTCGGGCTTGTTTTTTTAGCTTAGATTTGGGCGTTTTTACTGTACAAACAGTGTTTGCACAGTGAAAAATGTCCAAGCTGTTTGTGTTTTGACGGACACTTTGAGAAGGTTTTTTCTTTCTTTTTTTTTTTAATAAAATAATAAATTTTTTAAAATTATAAATATAAAAAAATTATAATAATTATAATTGAATAAATATATATAATATATATGTATTTATAAAATATATTTATATAATTTATACAAATTAATACACATCTATATTATTATGGGTCTGTTGTCTACAGTTTGGCCTACCCATATTTGACTTTATTTTTACTTTTATTTTTTTAAAAATTAAAATATATATGTGCTTCTTTTGGTTGAGTTTAAGAAATTTTAATTTGGATTTGGTATTAAAATAATGTTTGATGGGATGTTTTGTGAGAGAAAAAAATATATATATATATATATTTTTTTTTTTCAGAAAAACGCATAGTCCAAATAGTAAAATTTGGAAAAATTGAGGTAAAGAAACATACTCAATATTTATTATAATTATAAGGAAAAAATATATATACAATATATATATTCGTAGAGAATAAAATTTTCTATAATACAAATAAATAAAAATTTAAATATATATGTTGTGTATAATATAAATTCATAATCAAATCATACAATATAAATTTTATCAATTAAATTTAATACACATTTATATTATTTTATTCATTATCCATCAAATCAATACACAAAAACTCCCAGAACCCCAACCAAACCTAGATACAAAAGAAATAACAAAATTCAAACCCAAACGCAAATTTCCCCAAACCCCTCTAAAGAAACACACCCGAAAAAACAATTCAAAATGACAATCCAAAAAAATATAATACAAATGAACATAGGAGTACTATTGTCTTACAAAATATCATACCTATCTAACTATATAAACCAAAAACTATTCTTCTTTGTAAATTTAAATTTGTGTTCACTTTTTTTTATTATTATTTTATTTTATTTGTCACCCAAAAATATCATTATTTTTTATTTAGTAAAAAATTATATCATTTTTTTACTATAAAACACAAAAATGTAACAAAAATATACATTCACGGTAAAACTCATGCTAAAAAGATTTGAGTATATTTTCTTGTGACGAAGGTAGTAAAATAACATAAAAACAAAAACACCCCATAAACATCTCTTTTGAGCACTTATGTCGATGAGGTTTTTAAATTTGGGAGAAAAACATAAGGAAGGGCAAGAAAAGTCATGGATGTACTTCCATTTCCATAGTTAATTAGTAAATTTTTTAATCTATTCAAATCAAAATTTTTAAAGATAAAATAAATATTATATTACTTTATTCTATAAAATATTAATTTATTTTAATTTGCACAAATATGTTAATAATATATATAGTATATTATTTACTTTTATGGTATATCCATGCTCATTATGTTACTCCCTCCGACACTTGTACTTTGCTCATTTGAAATCCGCATAAGAAAAAGTAAATATTTTATTAAAAATAAAAAAAATAATAAAGAGATAGTTGAAAATATTTTTAAAAATTTAATTAATAATAAAAAAGAATAAAGAAAAAAAAATAGTAATATTTGTTATAAATAAATATTAAAAAGAAAACAATAATTAAATATTACTTCTTCTGTCTCTCAAATCAATTGTTTTATTTTCTTATTTAATAATCGTGATACCATTTTATAATAAAATTATTTATATTTTTTCAAATTATCCCTAATTATTACTTTAACCTATTTTTTTTAAAATCAATCAAAAAATAAGAATATTTTAGTATTCTTTCAATTAAATATTATTATTTTTTAATTCGCGTGCTACATTTTTTTGAGAGAAGGAATAGTATTTTTTTTTAAAAAAAAATTTCCAAATATAATAATAAATAAATTTAACGGAGAATAATGGAGGAAAAATTGTGTGTTATTGTAATAATTTCCTATGTATATATATATATAGAGACATATTTTTGCAGTTTTGTACATTATTTTTTAGGTAAAATAACATTCAGCATGAACAAAACAAACTACAATCACAAGGACTTATGACTTAGCTTCCTATGAATCATCTCTTGTTCATAAAAACTCACTCCGACAGCTGTAAATACTTAATTAAATTATAAAATATAAAAAAGAAAGTCGTAAAACCAGTGTAGCTCTCTCCATCGCCTACTAATCCAATTTACCCTAACAAACAGTTAGTAGTATTGCACAATTGCCCAAACATCGATCCATCAAGAATGGAAAACTAACATAATAGCTAGAAGGAAGGAACAAGAGGTACAAAGTAAAGGGCACAAGAATCACTAACTACCAATGCCTATTTCCATGGAAGATATACGAAGCAAGACGACTAAAGAAACTTCAGTCGTCTGTAAGACCTAGTCGGGAACCAAACTTAACACTTCCATCAAGCACGCACAAATATTAAAGAGAGGAGACGAATATACTAAAATGGCATTCCTGAAATGAACTACAAGAAAATTTAAACTACTTTACTTTGTTTGTAGTAAGTATCCATTGCAACAGCAGCTCATGCCCTCTATATGTCAATGCCGGACCAACTCTACCTCTAAAAACACAACACTAGCAACCAAAAACATCTCAGAAATCCAGAGGTGAGAATCTGTAATTCACCGACTTTAAGCCACACTATGAATCACTACAAATCTAGACGCGACAACGAAAATTTTAAAAAGAGACAAAAAAAGAGAAAAAGAAACTTATTCTCTGAATTGAACTATATATGTAATACACATCCTTTCTTCAAGGATTGCAAAGTTACCTGCTAACCCACAGCAAGGAAGCGCGGGGATGGAATTCACCGAATATAACCATTAAGATGAGGCGCTCAATGTCACATTACCAGGGAGGAACCTGGCGGCGCTGTGCTGTCTCAACTTCGCTACGGCAGCTTGCGTCTTACCACGCTTTAGATCCAAATAGATTGCCGTAAGAATAGCTTGGGGGCTTCTAGGGACTTCAGATAATGCCTTGGTAACAAAGTGGTGCGCCTGCTCTAGATCCCCCAGCAAAGCTAGGTTAGCCGCATAATTTGCACAAAAGATTCCGCGCGCCTCTTCTGGACTGGGACACACAGCTGCAGTTTGGGATTTGTCTGAGGAGGACATGGAGCCAGGAGCAACTCTTCCAGTAGGTAAATCCTCATTATCAGTTCCTTTTTCCGTCTTCCAGTTTTCACAGTCCTCTTGGTTGTAGGGGAGCTCAACATCGCCTCGGGAGACATACATCATCAAATGTTCAGCGGCTTCTAATGGCTGATTTAGCAAGCATAAGGCCTCAGCAACATACATGATGCCCAAAAAGGTGTATACCCTTGAACAGTCGGGAAGTTTCAATAGAGACTTTGCTGTTGATAGTGCTTTCAAAGGATTGCCCAGTGACAACTCGACATAAGCCAAATCAGCAAGTACAAACTGCTTTATCATCTGGTTCTCCTTCATCTGAATCTGCTCATAGTCAATAACAGAGTTCTGCAAGGGTGCATTCAGAGTGTTTCCGCCCTTCTGTTCTTTCACTTCACCATTTGAATTGGGTTGGATTGAACCTGATGCTACATTAGGTTCTTCATGATCACCAACAGTCATGGTTTTCGGATCTGTACTCTCAGATAATGTTGTTTCTCCTGAATTACTTTCCTCTGTTGTAAGTGGTGAGCCAGATCTAGAATCTTTTGCCTTTGGATAGTCCAACAAATACAATGCGTTGACAAGACACTGTCTGGCTAGAGGCATTGACAGTTCCAGCTTTTTACTGTCATCTACAAACAAGTGATCAACTTCAACATCTTCCCACTGCCCATTTGAAGAAACCCCATGCCTCAGAGCAAGCTCTCTCCACTTCCCCTCTCCAATAACATTAACTCCAATATCACACTTTTCAGAACCAGGGGAAATGGACAAAATTAGCCCCTTTTCTAGGGCCATCAAACAGCACTCAGCTATTCGCAGCCACAGAAGAGGTCTGTCGGAAAAAAGTAGACTGGCTTTTTGAAAACAGCGAGCAGCATGGAGAGGTCTGCCACAGGCCAAGGAGTACATGCCACAATTATATGATATCAGAAGGGATTTGTCCTGCACCAAAGTTTGGAGTTTTGAAGGTTTTTCCTTCCTCACAAGAGAGCAGTTCTTTAGGGCCTTGGAGAAGAATACACCAGATATATGATACTTCCCTAGTTGATAATATATGCACCCAAGATTGTTGTAATACATGCTAGAGATTCCAGGTTCCTTGAGGTTGCTTGATGCCATCAAAAGCTTGATTGCTTTACGATAGTTCCTACGAACATATTCAAGCTGTGACTTCAAATAAAGAGCCATGGGGTACTCCTTTCCGCGTGCTAAATTCATGGCCATCTTAACTTCTCGCTTGGCTGCTTTGAGATTCCTGGTGAGAAGGAAAAGCCGAACCTTGAAAAGATGCATTTTAAGCCTTAAATCATCCACAGATAAGGACTCTTCCGCTTGGTTCCTAGTAGGATCACCAGAAGATGGAATAACAGGCCTTTGAAGTTTCTGTCCACTTATATCAAGGGAAGATAGTAACTGAAATGACTCGTCTTCAAGTGCTTCCTCTGATAAGGTTCTAGTTAATGAATTTTCCAATGCATTTGAAGTGATGGCAGTATCAGACTGGGAAGGATCGGGACTAGTTGAATTGCCTGGAAGTGAAGGATGTTTTGGCACCAACAAAGATTGATGCTGAGCTGATGTTCCATTATCCACTTGATTGGTCAAGCTATTGATGCAGAAAACCTTCTCCATGTAGCTAATCACATCCTGAACAAAGAATTCAAGTGATTCACATGTATGCGGAAAGAAGACAGTGGGAATGAAGTCTAAAAGAAGCTATACATTCATGTAAGTATATAACAACATGAGCAGCAATAAATTCAGAGCATAAATACAAGGAAAAGGTTTTGCCTTCAAATGGTGACTAAACATAGATGTCATACAAGGTCACACATTAGAGAGAAGAAAAGCAAATATGACAGGTCAATCTGTGTGTGTGAGAGAGAGAGGGCGGGGGGGGGGGGGGGGGGGGGGGGGGGGGGAATGAGAAAAGAAACAGCTAATAGCAAGCAACAATCATACAGCAGTAACACCCTCTTTAAGTATAAATATATTGCATATCGAATTATAAATAACACATGTAGATACCACGCATTTGTGAATGATACTTACAACAGATCTTGATGCATGGTGAGAAAGTAATGAAACATCCAGCAACAATAGGCATATACGAAGAGCTGTCCCCTGTATGTGACCTTGCACAAGTTAACCACCGGCCATAATAAGAATCAAGGTAATCTACAGTAGATTTGTGATTGATACCTCATCAATAGGTTCGATGATCTGATACAATGTATCCAAATACGAGAATGATTTTGAATATTCATGAAGATGAAACCAGATAACAGCCTGCACTCAAATTGATGCACAAACATCAGAGACAGAAGGATTACCAATTCAACAGGCATAGCCAGCAACAACAGTGGAAGTAATACATACTATGTTGAACACTGCTACCGAAGTGTCGAACTCATCACTGAAGACAACTGATGATCTAGAATAACGATCCACTTCATTGTTAATTCCCTTCATTTCAGACATAGGCTTTCCTCCATCATTGCTCGAAACTTCTAAGTGCTCTCCAGATGTTTGGGCAAGCTCTTCACTTTGTTTCTAATTTGAAGGGAAGAAACCCAACAAAATGTAGATTTTAGAAAAGAGATAAACATGCATAACAAAAGACTCTACATCCATAGCATACATCAAATTAAATGAAAGAAGAATCCTGCACATCCTAAACACTAGTCCATAGTGAAGTTATATTCCTAAAAAATTAAAGTAGAACAAAATGTACTGTCTCATAGCAACAATGAAAAGGAGGAGGAATAAGTCCAAATAGATATAGATATACATACACATACTGAAACAGTCACATGCGCCCCTGAATGTGTTGGGACACGTGCCCATGGAAATGGACAAGCTACCACAACTAATAAGCCAATGGAAAGTTACCTAAAGGTTTGTTTACTTGTCCCCCCACCCCCTCTTTTATTACCCATTTTACTATTTGATCCCTCAAAATTTACTCAAAAAAGCATCTCATCCAACACCCATCAACAGTTGAGTTGTGCGGTAGAAATGCTAGAAACAGATAGAAACAATTTGAAAGAGAAGTGTAACACGATGCTCATCATGGAGCAAAGACTTCAGAAAGAGCTCAATTGCAATGCAATTCCAGCCACAAATATGGTTATTAAATCTAGACAAATAACCATGATGCCTAGTATCTCTGACACATTCCAACTTTATTTCATGAATAATGATACTTTATGTTGCCTTGATTTTCCTGTTTAAAAAACAAAAAACTACTTGATGCCTACCCATCATGATAATACATGGAAACTTTGTGTATCATAGTCATGCTAATTGCACAAGTGTAGTAGTAGTATAACCTTTGTTTGAAAGAAAAGCCCACAAGACCAACAGTTTTCCCATCATTATTCAAATAAGTATTCCTGATTGCCAAATATCAAAACAAACAGAAATATGCTTTCTTCACTCTTCACCTTTCTCACTATGCATTTTCTTTCATATTATAGTGCATAGTAGTTGATATATCATATTCTGTCTATTATTTTAATAATTAAAACATAAATTTCGATCAAGTAATGTGATCATTAAAAAAGAACAAATATGTTAAATAACTGCAGGCGATCATAAAAACAGGTTGGATGAACAAAGTAATTCCATTACTTACTTTTTGCTCTTCACCTTTCTCACATATCTACAATTCTCACCATGACTGCCAAACTATCACAGTTTTAACCATCAAGACTTTACTGGACAATATGGTACAGACTCTGAACCTCTTAGGAACCTAATCCTAAAATTAAGCAATGCACCAGGCTAACACATACCTCATGATCGACTGGCAGGCTTGCAGCTCCTAATGCTGAACAAGTTTCTTATATATTGATACAAGACAACATCTTTTAAGGGTAACCCTTACAAAGTGTCATAAAGTAGAAAATAAATGAAAGCAGCAATCATAATTTAGGGGTACTAATCCCTAATAAAGACCACAGAAAAAAAAAAAAAATTAAAAACAGATAAATTGAGGAAAAAGAAGCATGCAAGCAAACTGAGAAAGCCAAGTTACCAGTAGAGCATTGTGAACAAGTCAAACCAATATCCTAGCTATTCCATTAAATATATACTCATATAAGTAAAACAACCCCACGAGATCACTGGGTCTTGAGTATCCAATTTAGATTCAGTTCCAAACTGCTCCACCAATCTTTTAAAATGCTAAGCACCAAAACTCAATGGACATATAGCATTCAAGCCCACACCAAGTGGTCCTTTAAAACCTACACACATGCCAACCATTTTGCCCTTTCGAGGATGCAGTTTAAATATAATTACCTTTAAGTTCCCATTGTACATATTCTCAAAAATATTTCTCATTTCTAAATGGCCAGAGCTATTAATGACTATTTCATAGTAAAATAGGTGTTGCAGGTAAGTATATACATGAGTCAAGCTACTCAATTCAAATTTGTATATAGCTCAAATTGGATGAATGCCTATGAAATAATGAAACCAGTTTTCATTCTGTTAAAACAAAGCTATATATGTAGTCATCAAACTGGGGCTAAATCAGGTATCTTTTATCAAACCTCGCACCCAAGTTGTTATTTCCCCAACCTAATACCTTTTAAGTTACTGACGAAGTTAGCACAATAAAAAAAAAAAAAAAGTATAATTAAGCATCCACTGGACTTTCGCTCCAGCTTCAAGACACTACACATTTTCCAATTATATATCACAAAAACAAATATACTCAACCAAGATAGACACAACTGAATATCCACCAAATCAAACACCATGACCATATATAAATGCAAACCTTGATGCTCTCAAGTGACTCCAGGAGCTTCTTAGAATCTGAACCTCCATCTTTAAAGTTCTCAGTGATGACAATATTATGGCGAACCTGAATGTAAAAGAAAATACCAAAAACAGTTAGATACCAACATGCTTCAGACTTGCGAAAGTAATGCATAAACCTTCTATACACATCGCACCAATTTACTTAGTTTTGCAATATATGCATAAAGCGTGAATTCAATCAGCTCGGTTGGTCAGTTGTTTATTGCTGATCGGACACAGGTTGGAGAGGAGAAGAATGTGGAAGGACAAATCAAATAAATTCTTTCTCAATATACACGTCATCAAGGGTTTTATTTTTATTTTCTTTTTAGTCAATTTGGGATGCTCATATAAACGACAACGCTCTTACGCTCCTATGTAACGACAAATACTTGTAACTTAAAATGAGCTGCGCACGGAAATTTAGTAGTCAACGGGGTATGACATGTCCCCTCCTCCGCTAGCATAGATAGTGAAAGGAGTAACTGAAGCATGACTATACCCAATAAGGTCGCAAGAAACCTCAGAAATAAATTAAAAGTAACTTGAAGAAGAAAATTTTCAAAAGTAAGAAATGCTTAAAAAATATCCCCCAAGGCATAACTGAACTTAAGGAATTCACAATCATGATTTATCTAGAAAGCTAATCAGTCATAACACTCCAAGTCCAACTAACTCTCTTGAAAACGAAATCTATGAATCTAAAATTACAGAAGACCAGATAAAACATAAAAGCCCACCGACACGCAACAGAAATATACTTTCCAAATGCGAACAAACTCAACACTCTGCCAAATCTCAGTACCATACATCAACATGAATTGTGTTTCCATTATCCAACAGCTTTCAAATTTACGACTAATAATGAACCTCAGCAGTTACCCACTTCTTGTAAAACCAATTACACAAACACCTGTTATGGATTGCGCACTAATTTGAGACAGTATATATAAAATTCTCGAAAAATGGGATTCCAAGCAGCCTTGACATGCCATGGTCAAATAATACTTAGTATAGCACACACATAAACATAGTTAGCATATCACCAAAGCAGTTGTGTCGCCACTATCAATCAGCTAGTATCAATATCAAGCTGGACAATCAGCCAGAACTATTAACACATCCAACCGATGTGTCTTCTGAAATTGAATCACGAGAGACGAGGCAGATCGCAACAGCTTTTCCATTTTAGTGATTAAATGCACCTTCACTTAACCAAAAATATAGACAACCCTAAAATCCCGCAAGCATCATTTAGCCCACCATGAAATTGAAATTCCAAAGTTCAAGAGAGCCCCAAAAATGCAAATAAAAATTGAAAAAAAATTAACCTTGGGATCGTCTTTCTTCTGCAGCAACTGATTCAAAATTCTCCGGCACTCCGCATACTTTCCAGCCTGAAAGAGCAAGGCAGCCTCCTTCGCCATGCCCGCCGCAACTGACAAGGCGGCGTCATCCTCCACCGCTACCGCCGATGTCGACCCATCTCTTGAGTTAGATGGCAATGACGAAGAAGCTGAATCCATAAGCGCACAGATCGAAATAAAGCGGCAAACAAAATCACTTCCACCTTTGCAAAAACCCTCACTCAGTTACTGCAGAACTTCAAATTGTCACCCAAACCTGAAATTACATTCAATTGAAGTCCGAAATGAGCGCCGTAGCTATACATCTTAAACCCTAGCGGCACAATGAAAGAGGCCCATACATACACATACATACAAGCACATCCACATACAGAAGAGGCTATACTTCGATTCCGATGCGTCGATTTAGAGAGAGAGAGACTGCAGAAGAGAGAAAATTAGCGGATAGAAAGAGAAAATCTAGAGAGAGTGAGGATGCACGAACTCTTTACTCTGTAAAACATTAAGGAGAAGACATTTCGTGGTGTAGGGTGTACGCCATCAGATGAAATCCTGACCGTCCATTTTTTTACCTCTGCTTGTACCTTGCTAAGTAGCAATGATTGTTTGTACGTTTTGGCCAAATAAGGGCAATCACACACAACACTTCTCACGGAATCCTCCCCATAACTCTTATAATGAATAATACTCATGTTTGCTTAATTAACTTTAAATTTTATTTTGATATCAAATTAATATATTAAAGTAAATTTGTGGTAGTCTAGACAGGAATTTTGAAGTTTTAATTATAATTAAAAATTAATATTTAAGATATTATTTAATTTAATATTCGGAAATAAAATTACTATTTTTCATACTTCTAAAAATGTTACATAAACAAAACTTTTATATTTTCATCTTTACTTTTTTTAAAAAATAATCATTAGTTGGATTACAAATCAAATAAAAATTGGAGTAAATCATGAATACATTTGGCTTCAACGCAAAATTTTAAAATAATAGTATCGAGTATAAAATAAATAATAAAAGACTAAAATATCTTTAAATGTATTTGTATGAAAATAATTATATTTTTGTAATAATAAAAAAAAATAGAGATAATGAGATAGGCAAAAATAAAAAATTAAAACTATTATTTTGGGACAAATAAGTATTATTTTTAAGTTTGATTATGACTTTTATATACATAGTTTAGATAAATAATATAATTTTAATACTCACTCTGTCCGATAAAAAGGGTTCGTCCCAAAACAAATGTATCATTTTATAATTTAGTAATTCTACTGCTTACCTAACATAATAATTACACTTTCAATTTACAATATATTACACAAATGTCACTATCTTTATATTACACAATATTAATAAGGTTATTTTCGTTTTTTTTTTACTACACCCAATATAATACTAATATTAAAAAAATTACGTGCAAAAAACAAATGTTACTCTTTATATGAGACGAATGGTGTATAATGTTTTGTAAAATAATGATAATACATATTTTTTATATAAAAAATCAAATAATACTCAAAATTAAACTTCAAAATAATCTCATGCCTCCTTTGCAGTATAAAAAAGAATCAATTGTACCTGAATCGCAGATACAGAAGTATTGCGCAACCAAAAGTAAGAATATGATGATTCTTACTATCCAAATCTTCCAATTTGGCAACATAATCTTTATGCTCCCGAGAGGTGGGATCAACATGCACAAAAGGAGATGGGGAGACAGGTGGTCTGATATCGCCAGTGACAATTCGCCATAACTTCCTACCAATCAAAAAACTTTTCATAGACTGCATCCAAAGATCATAATTATCGCCGGACAAGATAGTAGTAATAGGTAAATGAATGTCCATACGCTCCATAACAAAAAAAAGTATAAAAATATATGAATCACGAAATCAAAGCCCAAATAAAAAAAAAGTAGATCGAACAATTCAATAGGTAACAGTCGCAAAACGAGATCAACTTCGATAACAAAGCCAACCATACCACGACGTAGGGAACAAAGCAGGAGGCGGCGACCGAAAAAAAAACGACGACCGGAGAAGGGCGGACGATGGACGGCGAACAGCGGCGGCGACGACTAGGGTTTTGGTTTTGGAAAACCATGCTCTGATACCATTTTAGAAATTTTGAGTGAAAATAATGAGATGGTCATCTTGATTATCAAAATAAGAAGCCTATATATAGACAATACAAAATAAACTCAAATCTAAGTAATCTAATCTATGGATACGATCAAATATAGATATAAATCTACTAAATCTAAAATTGAATATCTAAAATATCTCAACACCAAGAAAATCTACTTGTAGTTTCCAAAATGTTGCAAAAAAATCCCCCTCCATTAACGGTGGTTGTATATCACGAGCCTGAAATGCGATTTTTTATTCATAAACTGATATATTTATGTATAAAATTACTAAAATACCCTAATGACTGTTTTACAACATCTTCTTTCTCATTCTTCTTATTTATTCTACTTTTAGAATTTAATCTCAATTTATTTATTTATTTTCTATTTAAATCCGTTAAACACAACTAAATTTGAAATTGATTCTAAATTTATAGCACGAGTAATCGACCGGACATGGAGATAGAGACAAAAATGCGTAAGTTATTACTGACTGTCGATTTCTTCTTTTATTTTACTAAATCCAGAAATCTAAGAAATCAATTTGACATCAATATTTGAAATCAATCTAACAAAAAAGAAATAAAGAACCTGAATTGGGGGTGGGGCTGCTAGTGTTTAAGGTTTAGGGCGTTAAAAAGAATTGAGAAAGAAGAAGAAAAAAAGAAAAGAGCTGCACGTGTTAAAGAATGAATTTGGAGAATGAGAAGATGAAATAAAGAAGTTGAGGAGAAAAGAAGAGAAGAGAAAGAGAGAAATAAATAAATTAAAAAATATATAAATAAGGATATAACTGTCAAATCTGATAAAATTAGAGCGGCAATATTTTAGAAATCACGTATAAGTTTTTTGGGATTTTAGAACCACCAGGGATTTTCAATGAATTCTTAAAATCACAGTAGGTTTTTTTTGCTATTTTGCCAAAAATTAATTCCGATTTCAAAACAAATCATTTTAATTAGTATTGATATCATTTTTTTTTTAAAAAAATAAAATTATTAGAATTAGTCAAATATATTTTAATTCAATGAACATTATGATTACATGTATCTGTCATATTCGCAAAGAACGCATGGGTATTTCTTTTGATGAATTTTAAAAAAAATTTGATTTGAATTTGATATTAAAATAATATATTATGAAATATTTTATTAAAAAAAATATTTTTTTAAAAACTACATAATTCAAATAAATTTGAAATTTAGATAATAAAACACATAGATGTGGTAGTTTTTATGAGTGATGATAAAAAAAAATATAATATGTTAAATTTTAATGTGGTTAGTCTTCAATATATTCATAGTTTTATAAATTGAGTTTGTTCACATACAGGGTCTTGATTGTCTTTTATTTGAAATTGAAATTGAAATTTAATTTAAATAATAATTTAATATACTACTCCTAATATTTGGTGAGAAAAATAATGAGTTTGTTTGCTATTTTTTATATGGTTTTTAATATATATTATTTCTATCCGACTCTAAGGTTACATTTACTTTTTGTGTCATTATATTTAATATTAAAAATATTTTTATATTTGTATAATTTTTTGTACAAATATCATTATAATAGTTGGAAATAAAAAACAAACAAACACGCCTTAAATTGTGCAGAGGAAATACAGACACGAAATTGAATTGGGAAAGAAAATGATACTTCCATGTTTGTTTCAAAATTATTCAATTTGAGTTTATTCAGTTTAATTGTTTTCGCTAATTCATTTTCGTATTTTTGTATACGAGATTTGTTTGATAAATTCAAAAGATCAGGAATAAATTCACAACAATGGTATCAGAGCCCGGAAACCGATTTTGAATTTTAAAGATTAATTTGGTTTGAGTTTGGTAGGATTCGAATCATGGTAAAAGGTTGAACCCTCGTTTCTTTATTTTCGACATGTTATATTTTGGTAAATCTTGGTGAAATTGTTGTTAGATGATATGTTGAATTTCTTTGTATTGATTGGCTATGCATCCTTGGTGATTAGATTGAATATTCTTGAAAAATATCTTGGATATTATTTTTGGATTCTTTGATTGTATTCTTGTTGTGTTTCTTGGTTATGTGATAGCCTAGTGATTTTTTTTGTGCTAGCTGAAATTGTTGTAGTAGAATGCATGTTAAATCTTTTCTTTGTGTATTAGATATTGCATGTTATGTGTTAATTGGAAAATACCTAAATAGAACGTATAATTGGAAGGATAATCAAGAATAAAATTAGGTTTGTGGCATTATGTGATTTCTTGGTGAAAATGCATTATTCTTTATTTGTATGTATGTGATTAGTTGTTGTTTATGTCATGTTTAGATTGATTGCTTTGAGTTTGTGCTCCCGGGTATTCTTAGTGGTGGTGTTCGATCGAACTAGATGCTTAGTGTTTTGCTTTCCGTTTAGTCGTTTAGTGTTCTTCTAGAGTTTGCTTTGTTCCTAGTTGTTGCGTGTTCCTCTAGGTTTCGTCCTAGTTGTTGCGTGTTCCTCTAGGTTTCGTCCTAGTTCCTTACTGTTCTTCTAGGTTTTCTCCTAGGTTGCTTAGTGTTTGATAACTAAAAGTTTGGTGATGAGTAATTTGTATATTTCCACAAGGAATTTTATGTTTGAAAATCAAGGTGTGAATGACTATAGGAAGCGGTCATATATAATAAAAGATTTTGGTTGTAGACCCTGAGTAGTTATCACAAATATTTATACTCTTTTTACTAGCGAGTTTCCAGGTCGAACACAGAGATTTTAAGTCATGAAATTCTAATCAAGTGTAGATCTTGAAAAATCGGCGAAAATTGTTGTAAAAAGGACCAGCTTTGCAGCGAATTCAAATTTCTACTCTATGGAAAGCGGTAAGTAAAAGCGATAAAAACAAGCGAAGGCGAGCGGTGAAGTGCCAGCGATGATCGAGTTAACGGAACATGAGCGGATGACACACTATATATATATGTAAGCGGTGGAGAGTGAGGGAGAGGTGCTGTGTCTGAATTGTATGTTACTTAATGGCTAGGTTTTCTTGGATGAAATGAGCGAGCGATCTAGATATGTTATCGGAGGTATATGTATAATATGGAAGCCATGGAAGGAGATGATGTATATATATAAACTAAATTATAAAGAATTCTTATCACTGAAATCTGACCTTAAAGGATTTACAACAAGACTTCAATGATACCCATAATTGGAATATTATAAAAAAGAAATCCTACTGTCACCAGGAGTTTCTGTGACCTAATAGACCACCGTCTATGCCCCATGAATTTTCCCAACCTCTGTCTCATTAGTGGCTTTACCCTTCTGTTACCTCTTTTTAATCAAAATTGAATTCAAAACAATAGTTAAGTAGGTCGACAAG